CTTAGAGCTTTATTGTGCATCTCCACGGGGACGCTTGCTAACAGGAAGCTGATGCCAAGCACTAGATGAAACATGATTTCACAATCACAGCATTATATGAGGAAAAAAACAGACTCATATTGTTCAAACCTTCAGTAAAGGTGCTCTGTGATTGAACTCATCTTTATTTTAATCTGACAGCAGCTTTCAGTAACAATCAGTGGCCTCAGCATGATCAAACTGGACTATGAACTAAACCACAGTGTGATGAAACATGGCCAATGGTGCCTGTGACAGAAAGTGTATTTTTAAAATATCGGAGTGTGTCATAGCTCATCATGAAGATATTCTGTCCTCAGCTCTGTTATGTTGTGTCAGAATTACTGTATATTATCTTATCCCACTGCATGGTAGGGTGCTCTCATTTTTATATTTAATATATGTCATGTCACCTTTAGTTGCTAAAAAAAAAAAACTTTAAAAAAAAAGGCTTGGAAATGATCTGTTCAAAGAATGCAAATGGTTTGCAGCATGTAGAGATTTAACAAGTGCCACATTAGACAAGGATAATTAAGAAGTATACAAAAAAAGACTTCATTCCTTATTTTCTCATATTTATTCTGGTGAACATTAATCCCTATGAGACACAGATTCAGGGTTCAGACTGCTGTAAATGCTCACTTTGGCAGTTTTGTGGGGTTTTTTGCTCTTGGGTCTGTATTTCTAAGCGAGTTTATGTCGTGGTCATCTCAGGCACAGAGCTCTGCCTGCCTTCTGATTAAACCAACAAAAGACAGCTAGCTTAAAGGCTAAAGCTGCTTGTTTCAGACAAAAGATGAACTGAGGTGCTGATGGAGATTTAAAAAAGGGGTTATTTTGAACTGTGAATTATGCAAAGCGTGAGTTCAATAATAACAATTTACAATTTGTTAGTATTAATATTAATATTCAAATATTTTTTTAATTGTCAAAGTTTATGTTTTCAGATCAGCTTACTTGATTCAGAATTAGCTCATGCTAAGGTATGATAGTATAAAGTCAGCTCACTTAGTTGACTTACTACCAGATCGCAGTCATTCTCTGACCTGTTGGAAACGATGAGTTTAGCTGCAGATACTTGCACTGTCAGTGGGTTCAGGAGCATCCACAGTCTGTGGGACAGCCAGTGTCTGCTGATAGATTTTTGAGACACAGAGTGAAAATGTGATATCTTTAACATCCACACTCAGATTCACTTCTACGCACATCCCCTACTTTGTGTCTTTGCATAGGTTTTGAATGGGTTTGGTGTGAATATGCCGTAGGATCACCTTACTTTAATTTTCTTTAATCACATTTCACCTCTACTGTCTTAAGCCCCCTCACATCTCATTGATCTCACTGAACTTATTTAATCTCAACTTGTCTCTTCTTATCTCGCGTTGTGTCCTTTCTCCTTATTTTATTCATCTAACCTTATATCATTACACCATCCACACCCCATCTCTTCTTCCCTCACCTCATTTGCCCTCCTCTCATCTCTCCTTTACCACATCTAATCTTTCACCTTATCTCGGTCAGCCTTAATGTGGAATATTTCTGCCGCTGAAGCTGTCCAATTAAGATTAGATGGCATGAAACTAGTACATCTGTGTGTGCTGTGTGTAGGCAAACCCTCAAAATGGCAGAAGCTAGTGTCCCATAGTTTCACCTCATTACTGCATCCAAAGAGGAGTGTGACAGACGGGGGAGAATTCACGAGGAGGAGAGGAGGAACTCTTCTTCCGGTCCGTCTGGACAGCATCATCAGAGAGAGCGAGAATAAGAGTCCGTTATTAAAACATGTGACGGCAGAGACATGGCTGAGCTCGTGTTCATGCTGACTTGGAGGCTGTCTTCATGAGAGATCCTGGCAGTGGGGTCTGTTAACATTCAGATCACGTTCCACTGCACACCTCCCGATTTCTCTGAGAATCCCGGCAGCCATGTTGGTGCCCGCGCGACCATGAGGAGCACGTCTTTGATGATCAGACTTTAGTGGAAAAATACATAATTAAACAAGTGGTTACACTATTTTTCCATTCAGTTGTATGTGTGTGTCATTAAAGTTGCAGCAAACACCAGTTAAAGTTAACGAGAACACGTGATTTTAAAGAGCTAACTGTTGAGATTCTTCTACTGAATGAAAATCAATACAGAAACAAGCTGCTGATTATCCACTTTTAATTAGCAAACTGCAGTTGGTGTTTTTAAAATCTAATTTAAGCCCAGTTTCAATAAAACCACAAGTAAGGAGCTCTGAAGATGGATGAAGCCCTGGTGTCACCGTCTTTCTGAGCATCTGGGTCGACTGGGAAATCTTTTTGTTTGTACTATCTTTATATGGAGAATGAATGAGCAGCGAGATGTGAGCCACGGCTGGAAAATGACAGTCACAGTTCTGGAATCAATAACTCAGTGATATTGTTTGTTCCTCGGTAAGCAGAGGTTTGGGAGCAATCTCTCTGCAGAGTGATAAGAGGAGAAACATTGCCATTTTTCAATTTAGTGAACTCATTGATTAGTTGGAGAAATCCAGTGACTGACATTAGCAGAAATTTGATGCAACTCTGCTAGAAGGGATGCTTCCACAAAAATAGCAAATATCATCTGCAAGTTCTAATGGTGTGTTTAAGGAAAGTGTTTTACTCTTAAACAATAAGTTTTGACTGCAGTTACAGAAGGTGTTTTCAGACTGTTTTGAGGTGAACGTTATGAAAAGTCCTTCTAGAAAAGAGTGCTGAATAAACATTTACACTGCAACATAGAGCAAATGTTCCTGTAAAGCAAGGTGACATTCCTTGTACATTCCTCCGCCTCTGACTGCCACCCATTACAAGCGGCAAAAATGGGTTTCCTTCTCCCTTAGAGATGAGGTGAGGAGCCATTCGAGAGGGCCTCGGTGTGCAGCTGCTGCTCCTTCACATCAAAAGGAGCCAGTTGAGGTGATTCAGACATTTGACTAGGAGGCCTCCAGGATGGCTTCTAGGTGAGGTATTCTGGGCCTGTCTTACCGGAAGAAAGCCCCGGGGTAGACCCAGGACTCTTTGGAGAGATTTAACAAGTTCAGTCAGTATTATCCTTCGCTCTCATTGGTAGTTGTTTCAGGTGCTAATCTCAAAATTTGCTGAAATTTGTGGACCTTTAATGGTCTCGTCAGTCTCTTCCTGTTGGGACGCCCCTTTAGACACAAAAACCCACCAACTTTAGTCCACCAGTAATTTTTTCACCTTAAACTGGTTGAATGGTAAATGGTAAATGGCCTGTATTTGTATAGTGCTTTTCTAATCCCTAAGGACCCCAAGCTACATCTTAGCCACAGCCACCCTGGGGCGCACTGACAGAGGCGAGGCTGCCGGACACTGGTGCCACCGGGCCCTCTGACCACCACCAGTAGACAACGGGTGAAGTGTCTTGCCCAAGGACACAACGACCGAGACTGTAACTTGTGTTTGCGTTCTCTCCCTGTCAGGTTAATTGATGATTCTAGACATGCAGTTGACTGCCAACTTGTCCACAGTCGGTGCTGCCTCTTGCCCAGTGTCAGCTGGGACAGGCTCCAGGTTTAGTTTAAGGTTTTGATAAGCCCTAAATCATGATTGCTCCAGTATAAAATGTGTATAATCTGTCAATTTGTTCATTTAGATTTCAAATTTGATTAGTGGGATGGTTCATTAGTTTCCTGTGAGCAACTCATCCAGACTGGGCTGGTCTGAATGGGTGGTGCTGTGTTGACGTGGAGCAGATTGGCTCTGGTGGAGCAGCAGATTGCGTGTTCCGCGGGAGGGGAACTTGGGTCAGTTCAGGCTGCAGGCTGATCATAGTCACCTGACCCGGTGACTATGATCAACACGAGGGGCCACAGAATAAAGCTGAAGGGTGGGAGGATGACTGAAAGGATGAGGATAAAGTTTTATTTCTATCTGCTTTCCGCTAATATTTAGGTTTCCTGTGATTTTCAGTTCATCACCCTCTAAAAGTTAATTACATCATTTCTCTTTGGTTGAACTAATTGCAGCCAGTAGACGGTTGAATGAAGGGTTGTTTTAGAGGTCGCAAGCCACAAAAGTTCAGCCGCTGTTACAAATCAAAGCGAAACAAAAAGAAACGTTCAGGAATCATCACTGAAACTTATAAAACAACACACCCCATCACAGCTGCTTCTAATTCACCCTTGATCAGGGGATTTATTTTTCCAATCTTTGTAGCTGAACCTGAGTGTACCAGATTTCTGACCTTTAGGTCATTTTTTTGTGGCGGAAATGATGAGTATGTCATTGCAGATGGTTTCTGGGTGGAACAGGTCTGTTTTAGTGAATTGCTCAAATAAGTACTGTGTGTGGAAATGCTGCAGTCTGCAGCAAAAGGGGGCTGATCTTGACTTTCTATTACTAAAGTGCATCTTCTGCCCTGTGTGGTGAGTTAACATAATAAAGTTTGAAGACAAGAGTTAGCCTTTGAGGTTTGACCCTTATACACAGCTGCTATTGCTGCTGCTGATAAGCTGTGGTGGAAAAAGCATGTCTTGCAGAACAAGATTGTAATAGTTATATTTCAAATTCATTGAGATATTTAGGGCCGGTGAACTTTAGCACTATAAACAGCATTGCTCTAACTAAATATTAACACAGCAACACACTTCAGTCTGACTGCAACACTCATTCACCTGCAACACAGGTACACACAGAGAGACGTCACAGAAATACAGAAAACGGAGTAAAGGTTTATCTCTGTACAGTTCTTTAAAATATTAAATAATTTCAGTTAACAGAAATAAAATAAAACCCAAGCCTTAAAAAAAGTGCAAAAACTAAAATAAATTGATATAGAAAAGTCCTTGTTCTTTGTAACTGTGTCTGTATGTCTGCACTCTTTGTCATGTTGCTGGATTCATTTGACATTTCTCCAAGTTTCCATCCACATGTCAGAATAATTACTGTTTTACTAAAGAACAATAACTAATGTTGATGTCAATATTCATGACCTTTCGGTTGTGTCTGCAGGTCTGTCTGGTAACCCTGTCGATTTGGAAAAACGTCACACGGCATATGGACAGAACTTTATCCCCCCAAAGAAGCCCAAGACATTCCTGCAGCTGGTGTGGGAAGCTCTGCAGGACGTCACGCTTATCATTCTGGAAATCGCTGCAATCATCTCACTGGGCCTGTCTTTCTACCATCCACCTGGCGGTGACAGTGAAGGTCAGTGTAGATCGTCGTAGACGTTGTGTCTTTACCCATTGCTTTCGGTACACTGAAGACTCAACCTGAGCATTTTAGCTGCTGCCAGCTGGTGGTTTTTCAGAGCCAGAGATGAACATATATGGAGAGGCGGCAGTGCTAAGTTATCAGTATAGCAAGCTGCACACATAGACATAACAAAGAGGGTTGTTTCTCCAGTGGAGTTTTCCTTCCCACTGTCGCCAAGCGCTTGTTTGCAGCGTGTCGTCTGGTTTTTGAAGTTTTCTCTGGATAATTTTATTATTTTAAACGAATTAAGTTAAATTAGTTAAGAAGTCAAATAACTGCTAAGACAAAACTACCCGTGGCTTAAAATAGAGGGAACTCCAACATTAACCAAAGCAAGTGAAGCTAACTCGGAGGAGAAAACCACCGTTTTATTAGACTCCCAGGAAGTGAAATCATTTCCTTTGTGAGGTCGAAGGCAACATGGGTTAAACACCTGAAAAAGGCAAGCCCAGCAATCAGCTGACTGGCTGGGTTGGTCACAACTGAATGGGTGCCATGCACAGATGCAGATTAATTAGAGCACTGTTATAAAATACTAGAACTTGATGTGGACACTCAAGTTTGTGAAATCTTGTGAAAGGAGGCGACATGGGAGTTTCAAATGAATACCACACGTGTATCTACTAAGGGGCCGAGGGGTAGCACCAGCGGCCACCTGTATTTCTTTTCTATATCCATGTTGTTTATTTTAATTACTAGAGGTGGGAATCACCATACATCCCACGATACGATATTATCACAATACTTAATCCACGATACGATATTATTGCAATTTTTTAAAATATTTTGCGATATTCAAATTCTGTACATAAAGGTAAACTTTATCAATATTCATTTTATCTAATAACAAAGTCTCACACTCAGTCTTTCTCTCATTTCAGTCAGTTTTATTGTTGACAAACTGAACGGTTTGTATTACAGTCTAGTCCAACTTAACTGAATGCAACCATCTGGTACAATTATAGCTATTCTGAACTATGCAATTTATGAAAACTATGCAGCCCATTCAGCAACTGAAGAATTTGAAAGTAAATTAAAACAAAATATAATTTTACATTAAATAAAAAAGGTTTAAACTTAATTAAAATAAAACATGTCTTAAATTAAAATAAGTAAACTGTCATGTTTATTGCTGCCAAAAAAAAAGTTAAACACATTTGGACAGTGAAGGAATGTCAGGATTCTTTTTTTGTAACAAAATATCGATTTCTGCTGTCCCTGTATCGATACATTATTAGCAAACAAAATATCACGATACTACACAGTATCGATTTTTTTCCCCCACCCCTATTAATTACATGCTTTTATCAGGTACATTACATTACATACATTAGCCGCACCTGACTAAAAGCCGCAGGTGTTTCAATGTTGACTTATCATATGTAAGAGAATATGCACAAAGGGAATTGTCAGGAAAGAGATGGCTGTTTGGAGACACATCCCTTTTATTAATATTTTGAAAAACAAATTACGGGTACATATTTGCATAACTTTTTAGGGTATATGTACAAGTACCGGTAATTACAAGTACGAAACATGTACTGTGCTTCTTAAATGAGTAACAAATGTAGTACATAACAATAACCTACAGCACACCAGAAAAATAGATTCGGCCTACCTTTTAGGCTCAGGTGCAGTGCCTCGGCTTTAACAAGAAGAAAAGTCAGTCATTCACCACCATCTTTCTCTTCTTCCTGCGCACTAAAACCACCAAAGTCCTCTTCTCCAGTGTCTGAAACGAACAGGCTCAGGATGGCTACGTCATCCACTCTCCGCTTCTCTCCTTTGTTTCAAAACCAAACAAATCCTCGTTGTCAGTGTCGGAGTCAAACACCCTCTGAAGGGCCGTGGCGGTGTCCTCCTCTCCATCATGCAGCAGTCCAGCCCTTCGAAATCCGTTGGTGATCATGGATGTTTTCACACTTTTCCACGCTGTCAGAATCCACTGACAGACTTGAGCATAACTTGCTTTTCGCAAGTTTATCGCCGCTCGTCATCCACGCCTCCGCGTAGCGCTACTTTGAAGTTTGTTTTTCGCGCTACTTCGTACGGCACTACGTTGCCTGGCGGACGGACATGTGACCAACATACCACTCTTGAACCCCGATACTGTGTGTCTGATCACATGCCCTTCCGCCAGGCAACGTAGTGCCGTACAACAGCGGAACAAACAAAACAAATCGTCTTACAATATCACAAAAATAATGGACAATCCATAGAAAAGCCGCACCTGACTAAAAGCCGCAGGGTTCAAAGCTTGTGCAAAAAGTAGCGGCTTATAGCCCGACAATTACGGTACTTTCATTTTTACGTAATTCACTTTTATAAAACAAGAAATCTGATCATTCATTTGTTTAGTATTTACTGGGCTAGTTTCCATTACTGTCCATTTTTGCATTAAAATGAAGTAAGAAAATAAACTGGTGCAGCAAACAAACATCTAAACGTGACTTTCTTCAAGTGTTTACACGCGGATACGTTTTATTTCATGCAAATAATGAAACAATAATTGTGGCAAGAACTTCATTAGCTCGGTGAGCCTTAATTGAGTTGGCTAAGAGAGGTTAAGAACTGCCATCAGGAATTGTCACTTGACGACAATTCAGAGCCTGATAAATTATCTGAGTCTTTAAGCCTCGTGGTAACACTCACACATTCACGGGCTCCTCTAATCAAGTGAGTGAGAATCTGAAAATGAAGCTGATGCCTACAAAGCAGGGAAGGCTATAAAAGGAAATCAGAGCACTTCCAGCTTGCTGTCTAAAATGTCATTCAGTAGTGGTGGTTAATGGGAGCGCCAGGAATCGAAACAAGATGTCTGCAGAGGAGCAGCAACGGGAATGTTTAGCTGACACAGAAGTGATGTTGCACTGTTTCGCTGCGTGGGGTTCATTCACAATCAGGGCCCACATCAAAGGAAAAACCTCACCTGCTGCTGCGTCACAAAAGTCAGTGTGTGTGGTCAGCAAAGCAGCATTTGGATCAGAGTAACAGCTGCTGTGTGCAGACTGAGATAAAATATGTTTTGTTGGCCTTAATTATCAAAGCTCTGTTTGCTGAAAAAGGGAGCAGTATACCACAGTACCCTGTGGATTGTGAAGATGCTTTGCATGCAAGGGAGTCTAAAAATATCTAGGGAAATTATCTGCTAGTCACAAATTTCTGAAAGATGACAAATTAGGAGTAGAAACTTTTTCAGCTGATTAAAGGTTAAGGTTTTCCAAGCTGTGATAACCCCATAGGGGTTACTGAAAGCCCAAACCTTTGCACGTCCCACAATTACTGCATCTATTCCAAAAGTAACATGTATTTATTAATTATTATTTATTTTCAGTATTCTGATACGTGTAGGTAGTTGGTTTATATTTTAATTTATATTATTATTTATATGGGGATGTATATATTATATGTACTGTAAATAAAGTTGTTTAAGTAAAGTTTTTGTTTAGCTTTTGACAGTATTCCTGACTATGAAGGATACAGGTCATTTTTGCTTTTTGCTAATTTGAAAGACGGCTGAGCAATTAATTACATTTTAATGATTTTACAATTATTAAAGCAGGATAACTGAGATACAGTTGTTGTGCAATGTTGTGTTTTGTGCCTTCATAAAAATCCAAAAGGAGAAAAAATTATAATGTGATGACGTTATGCCTGAGTGGAGCATATTCCACTGGTCTATGGTTGTCACGGCAATTTAAGAATTCAGATTTGGGTTTTTTGTTGCGTCTCCAAATTCTAAGTAGAAAGTCTGACTTGAGAGAGCATCCAGATGAAAATTGCAACTGGAAACTTGGGATTCCCATTTTAAATGCACAATACAATACCATATGTCATCTTAACACTCTCCAGGCAGACGTTGCAGATTTGCAACAGTTAAGACATAACAACCTGATTACCCCACATACATATTTTATGAGTTTTTTTTACTCAGAAGTACCACTGCAGGACTTGGTTGTGCATTAGCAACAAAAAACTTAATTTGGGCTTGAGAGGGTTAAACCTCATCACAGCTTAGAGCATCTTGCCTTACCTGTTCATTAAATCATTACACAGTCAGCCATCATTGCCTAACCTTTCCAATAAGAGCTCTCCATCTCGCCACCTGTCTTTGCTGTTATGATGGGATTTGATTTCAACATGTCCTCATGTTTTCACAGCATGCGGCGCATCTTCGGGTGGCGTAGAGGACGAGGGCGAGGCCCAGGCTGGCTGGATCGAAGGTGCTGCCATCTTGTTCTCAGTCATCATTGTGGTCCTGGTGACGGCCTTCAACGATTGGTCCAAGGAGAAGCAGTTCCGCGGGCTGCAGAGTCGCATCGAGCAAGAACAAAAGTTCACGGTCATCCGCAAAGGTCAGGTCATCCAGATCCCTGTGGCCGAGATTGTGGTTGGAGACATCGCTCAGATCAAATACGGTATGAAACTCAAACATTGTTATTTGGTTATTTCATGTGATGTTTAACTGTCAAGCTTTTATGACTACAGCAACAACCTTTGTGAAGCTGCTTTACAATACAAAATTTAAATTAAACCCTGAAGAACCAATGGGGTCAGAGCCGACCCCATTGGTTTTCTAGGGAAACCATGGGGTCAAATTTGACCCCATGGGTTCTCCAGAGTTAAAAAGACTCTGTGTAAGATCCTGTTCAAACCCTGTGGCTGATGGGGGGAAAGATTCTGACCTATCTGATCGATCTGCTTGCAGGAGACCTGCTGCCTGCTGATGGTATCCTGATCCAAGGCAACGACCTGAAGATTGACGAGAGCTCTCTGACAGGAGAATCTGATCAGGTTCGCAAGTCTATGGAGAAAGACCCCATGCTGCTGTCCGGTGAGTGCCTGGAAAACTGTTCTCCTAAAAAAATCAGGTTCACGGTGTTTGATTGAAAGATGGATGTCCTGCTTATAAAACAAGAGCTGTCTGAGACCCCGCCAAAGCTAGAATTTCCTATTACACCATGTATGAATTCAATCCCTGGATTCAGAAGGATATCTACCTAGAAAAAAAGCAACATAAGTAAAAGCATGTCATATTAAATATTCAGTAATGTGTCTTAAAATGAGATTAGATGGATAAATAAGTGCTTTGACATTGATTTAAAATGAAAACAAATGACAGCAACACAGTAACAGTTTAAAAAAAAATAAAGCTTCTTTTTTGACTCGTAGCTTTTTGAATATTTCCTCAGGGACCCACGTGATGGAGGGATCAGGCAGGATGGTGGTGTCAGCTGTCGGCCTCAACTCTCAAACAGGCATCATCTTTACTCTGCTGGGCGCCAGCGAGAACGACGAAGAGAAGAAGGTCAAGAAAAGTAAGACATGAGACAAAGCCTGTCACACATGTCAAGAAACACAACATATGTTGAAGTGTGGAAGGTCATACGAGGACAGTAAGTCTGTGAAGTGTGAGGAAAGTTTGGCTAGAACGACTGTCACCGTGTCAGCTTCTGAATATTTCTGAACAGGCTGATCGGAAATATTTTGCCCGTTTTTATCAGCTGGTGTTGATTTGACGTTTCTCCTGTCGTACCAGCCGACTCTGTCAGCAGGTAGAGTTCATCCAGTCTGAGCTGATAACAGCAGAGCTTTTTGAAGGGTCTGAATGTGATCTGTAAGCTTTATTTAACTTCAATCTAAGCACAAAAACCTTCCATAGTGAATACACGAGACCAAAGATGAGTAATATTGTGATTGTACCGGCCCAAAACAAGTGAAATAAAAGTGACATCTACAAAGGAGCTCCCACAATCTTACCAAACGTAGCTTATCGTAATTTTAAAGTGGCATGCACACCTTTTTAGTGACCAATTCCAAAGAGTTTGTAAGATAATAGTTCATTTGCTATCACCAGGTAATTAGCTTAAACTGTATATAAAAGATGAATTAGCAAAGTCCTGTTTTGAAGTCTTGAGCTGACCTGTTTTGGTATGACAATCTTGGTGATTACAAACAGGATATGATGTGAGGTGGAGCTGATTCAGAAACATATCGCGGTGTCATAGGCTAGAAATGTTAAATGTGCTTCATCAGACAAGTACTGAGGACAAGTACTTCCTAGACGTCTGCAAACAGTCACCTCTTGCTGGACATTTGAAAAAACTGCACTAGCTGCACTTTTCTGCTCTGTCCTTCTTTTATATACAGTCTATGGTTGTACCCAAAGCTACATTTCAAAGAAATGCATGTGACCATGTATCCTTAAGGGGATAAATGGCTATTATATCCATGGATCAATATAGCCTACTTCATTCTGTAAGTTAAGCAGACAGCCCCAGTCCTTCAAAGGACTCAGTGCTGCCCACTAGATGAATCTCCAGAGTTTGCAGGCTGTTGAGGAGTCTGACATAATTCTTGGACTCAAAATAGCTTTGCATGATTCAATTAGAAGATAACGCTTATTGATATTTTAGTGGTCCTTGGTGTAGCACCTCAGTTCAAACAAGCTGTTTTAGCTACTCCATCTGATTGGCTGCTCATTGAACAGGTTTGAATAGCAGGTAGGTGGGGCTGTGTGCCTGAGGGGACCATATTATGTATATCCTCTCTTATTCACATCATACAGATCCAAGAGTAGAAAAAATGAAATCAAGCATTCAGAGCACACTGGAGCCTGAACTTTTGTCTCACAGAAATTACTCAAGGATATACTGACCTCTTTATTTGAAACTTTTGCCATGTTTAATAAGAGAATCCACCATTATGTGACATATGGTAGAAAATATTTTCAAAAAAGCATAATAGGTTCACTTTCAGTCACGTCAAGCTGTCATTTGTAAGTGGACGGTTCATTAAGCAGGAAAGTGTGCAGAATGTACTTCTGTACACTAAAAGAAAGGGAGCACTTTAGAGGTTGTTATGCAATGGTTTGCAATTGCCCACTTAAGATCAAATCAAGCTGTATGTGGCCTATGAGCTAAAATGAGCTTGACACCCCAGATGTAAAATTTTAAAAAATACTTGAATTTTTAACATTATTCAGTTGTTATGTTCAAGTGCTTGATGGGAATCTTGACAGGCCATTTAAACTTTTGTTCTCTGTCGTGGGCTTGCAAACAATCTTTGCTAATATTTCAGTAAAGCAACACTTTGAACTGTGATTTCACAAAGACTCAAAGACAGATTGATTGGTCACCTGAGCAAACACCTCATCATGGTCTCATTTATTCATGTAAATTCATGGCCACAGTACTGAGTAAATTGGCCAGTTACGTAATATCAATTAACTGTGAAACACAGTTGCTTCTTATATAGAGGGACCCTTCAAAAGCCAACGTCCAGATGATCTTTGTACTATGTCAGAGCAGATGTAAAACAACAGGCTTCTGCAGTCGGTCTCTATTGCTTTTGATTTGCTTGTGATCATGCTAACCCCCTTTTACACATGTATCCTTTTCCTTTAGTTTGTTTTTGTCTTATCATTTTGTTTTACTGGCTAAAGTTTGAGTTTGTCAGGCATTCATTGTGAACTGGCTGAATGTACCAGCTCAGCGGAGAGAGACGCTCAGGTTTGCATTTCGGCCTCAAGTTTCTGGTTCATAAAAAATACAGACAAACGGACAAAAACAAAATTGGTGCTGACTTCCTAATGAGGAGAACCACGAAACAGATTCAGCTAAAAATAAATTTTAAATTTTAAAGAAAAGAGCCTTTACATTTACATCTCATACACAGGCATTTACTTCCATGTTTACATTGTCAAAGCTTTCATCTTAATCTTAAAATGTGTTACTAATCCTTATCCTGAAACAAAGCACAGACCCTCAGAAACTCTTTGAAGTGAGAAGTGTCATCACTTTTCAGAACAAGTCCTTGCTTTGATATTTTCAGACTTTTCAAAAGGGATCTTAACTTTTAAAAAAAGCCCTTATTTTCCAAATTGGAAGTGAATCCTCGCAAAGACAGAAGCGCGCACACAAACACACACACAGGCACTGTGATGAGGTTCCTGTGTTCTTTTAACAGCAGACACACAGCAGACTTCACTGTCACACATGGCTGCATCAATCCGCTGTAAACACGCACACACGCACTGCACACATTCATGCACTCGTGTCAAGTCACACCCATCAGTTATCTTGCGGGGATAAAAGCCTTCAGTGTTGCAAACGCACACATACGCACTCATACTTGAACCAGTTCACTCTCGATAACAAGCCACAAACTGAATAACAAAGGGCTGTGTGTGTGTGTGTGTGTGTGTGTGTGTGTGTGTGTGTGTGTGTTTTTGGTTTTGCTCTGACCTTGCCAAAGTTCCTTTCATAATAAAAGCAGACAGCTTAGTTTTACTGCAGCAGGAAGGTAACTTCCTATGAGCAGGAAAACGTACCTGACCTGCACTTCACCTGTGATGTGCTTTATTGTGTCTGATCAGTACATGGCACCTCGTTAAGATCAATTTCAGAGACAGCATCAGCCTATGTGTTTAGCTTTTCAGTCATTTTTGGGGTGAATAAAATCCCTTTTAGAGATTCAGCAGTCCAGTTCAGACAGCCCAGTTTCATCCATGGGGCATCAATTAGTGCTGTTTAGTTAAAGCCACTGGAATGGCTCGTTTACACACAAAGTGTCCGTTGGCATGTGTGCCCTGACACACTGAGTTTTAGCACTAGTGTGAGTGACTGTAACTCTCAGGTCATTATCTTTACATGTGCACGGTTACTGTTATAAAGATGCAGCTTCTAACCTAAACTGCAACGCTTTCCTTAGCCTAAATACTTTTGAGGATTAAATCTGAAAAAATAAATAAATAAACAAAAATATACATATCCAGCAAATGAAAGCAAAAGTAAAAAGTAAATAAAAGATTTAAAAAATCAATGCCATTCTGCTATCCTCTAAAAGTCTTCTAAAAGGGGACCATTAGGGATATAAAAGGGGAACATTATCTCCAAGACTGCCTTGGCCGGCTTTTCGGGGCACCAACGCCACAGGACATCATGCACATAATGAGGACACACAGACGGCATCTTGGCAGGAAGTGAACGCATTGTTAGTCATATAAAAAAAATCAGACCTCAAGAAAATCAGCAGACAAAAATAAAATGATGTTTTGATGCATGTCAGAGCATCTCACAACCACTCTACAAAGGGAGTGCCCTAAAAAACAAAGCTTTCTGTTAACTCTCACTTTCTGCTCAAACAAGGAACGAATTTCAAAATAAAATGTAAACCTGGTCCCTGCTTATCACAGCGTCTGCAGCTGTGCTGGCAGCCTTTTGAGGCAGTACTGAAACAAATCAATGCGGTGAACGTGCTAACATAGATTTGATTATTCACATCACACAACCTTCAATAATTGTGTGAAATAATTGAGTCTTAACATTTTTCATTACGTTCCACTTTAAAGTAAAAAAAAAAAAAAAAATCCACACTCTGATAAATAAATGACCTTAATATCAACGTATTTTTTTATATATTTTTATATTTTATAATATGAAAATAACGCAGCTTACAAGAATGTGTCAGAACAGACCAACATGCAGTCTATTTAACGATGTACATAATGAACAAAACCTCAGTAAGCTTAGATAAAGTATCATATTAACAATGTTGTGTACCATGTGAAGCATCACCTTTTAAAAAAGGCCACAGTGTGCTGGTACAGATGAATTCACACTGCATAAAGTGAAGTGAAATACAGAAGCGAGCACACTGGTGGGTCTTACATGTTATTGTTGCTTATTTAAGGAAGAAATGATCAGTAACATGAATTCAGTGTCATTTCAAAAACGGACAGACATCTGCCTGAAAGGTCTACCTTCTCACAATAAATGATAGAAACAGAGTAATGCAGAGCTTCAGGAAAGTACAAATAAATCGATCGCCTGATTACTTTTAAACCACATTTTACATTTCCGATGAATATTTTTAAACTTTCGATTTCGTTGGCCATCGGTTCTCCGCAGCGGGAAGTCGTGTGTCTCTCTCCTCTGATTCGTCCATTCCTGCCCACGGCACACACACGACACACACACACCTGTGGGTTTCTATCAGTTTGAACTTTGTGTTGTCCCTCAGTTTGATTTGATCTTATTTTTCCTTTGAGCCATCTTATCAGCATTCCGCCCTCTCTCTCTGTCCGAACAGGTAAAAAACAAGGACCCCCCGAAAATCGCAACAAAGGTAACCCCTCCATTCATCCATCTGTCCCGCTTTGTCCCTCCATCCTCCCTGTTACTCACCCACTCCTCACCCTTCACCCAGCGGCAGGAGGGGAGTGTCCAGTCCATCTCTCTCCCTCTCTCTCTCTTTCTGCTGTATAAAGGGGGACGTTCTCTCGCCTTGCTTTACCTGTCCAAGGGTGCAACTCTCAACCTGCAAGTCTCTAACAGCCGAGTCTGCGTTCGCCCTGTAGAAGTGTATTAATGCCTCAACCCTGAAAGCAGGGCATGTTTTTTGGAAGCACATGATTTATGTTTGGGTGAGAAATCAGCCACAGGGAAATTTTTAAAAATGTGAGGGTAGTGGTTATCTTTGTGTAAATCACGTTTATTTGCAGCACTCAAAACAAAAATAAGACGTGGGTTATACGAGTCATTTATGATCACTTACAGGAAGTTCATGTCGCACTAGCCAACAGGAACGTGTACCAAAAGTGACATCATACCCATTGGCATGTTTTTGTGGTGACACCTGTTGCTAAGGTGTACACAGAAGTGAGGCCTGCAAGCTTCAGGTGCACGTATACACAAGAGTCAACAAGAAACAGAAGTATATAATGTTGAAAACAACAATCAATTAGTAATCATTCAGATTTACTTAATTTATTATGTCTATAAGGAGACACACTAATCAATGGTTAATCGCCTGCAGAAGGTCCATTCAGAGCCCTGTTATTAAATATTAGCCAGACTAACGAGCTAGGACTTCAAATGATGATTAATTCTTGTTTGGTCAGCAAATCTTTAAATGTCACAAAACATTCAACAGACATTCACACTAAAAAAAAAAAAAGTTAAATTGCAGAAACAAGTTAGGTTGTTTTCATAATATTCAAACAAACATGGAAGCACTACTGATTTGTAAATGTTATCAGTGTTCACTTTGCAAACTAACTTATACAACTGTTGAGATCTTTATCGCTGTTTTCTGTTTGAAAGGGAAAAAAACAAAACATTGAACGGTTATTACTAATCTCTTAAATGTAAGTCATGTGCTTGCTAAACACCTTTTTTCCGCTCATCAGAGTCTCTCAGTTCACGGTCAGAATTGGGCTACGAGACCATCAGCGAGGGTTACTAACTCCTAACGTACTGCTCTGACCTCTGAGGTGTCCTTGTTTAATGGGTTTAATGACTGTGTGTGAGATTGCTGATGACGTCATTGCGGCAACCTCCAAAATCAGCCAAATGCCCTCCATGTCCTGGGTGTTCCAGCACATGGCCAGCTTCCTCTGCAAGCTGTCTCAGCAAACACACACACACCGACACACTCCCCTCATCCAGACCTCCCATGGTTAAAGCATCTGCTGCAGACAGAATGCTTCTTCATGTACAGAGAAAGACGCACACACAGCTTTTGGATGCTCATCTCTGTTTTTCACACGGAAATTATAGTCAGTGCTGCAGTCACAGCCGACCTCCGCTGAAAAACACAAGCTGGACAACATTTCTAGGAACATCTTTGCTCATTTTTATGAACCTTAAAGCCCTGAATGCATTTGTCACCACCTTTTTTAGCTCCAAGTTTTGCAGCACATTAACTATGTGAAATAGCCCCAGTTCTCCCATCAGTCATGTTTCCAGCCGCTTATTTTTTCCAACCATAAGTTATGAAATGAACTTCCTGTTTTATTCAGTGTGACCTGAAAGTAGCAGTGGAGCCATAAAGTCATATGGAAAGTTTTTACTGAGGTCAGAGTGCGAGGAAGCCGAGGGTTGTTTTCTTCTAGACAACCTAAAGTCTTATTGCAACCAGAGGAGGCACACCCTACTGGCCATTAAAAGTAATGCATGTTTGATGCACTTGGGCACTATTTAGACTGGTCAGCTACTACCATCTTTTATACTGTCTATGGTGGTGACACCCTATACTGCAGGTGTCTTGGGAGGTGCAGATTCCACAAATGGGCTGACAAAGGTGCCTAACCCTTGTCTTTTGATTAAGTATCCCATTGCACGTTTTTTAAAAAGCCCAAGGTCACATCTCATAATAGCTTGTTTCTAGTTTAAAACCTAAAGATTTAATTTGTAATATAGTTTATTTGTCATTTATTTAATAAATGCTTTTCCTTTTTTTTACTCTTTGTATCACAACACTTCCTGCAGATGTTTCACTTTAATATCATTTGGGTGTTTGTCCCTTGAGCGGTTGGAAAGCTTTTAATGTGAAACATCTGTGCAGGAAGTGCAGCAGCAAAAGAAGAATCTGAGAATCTGATGTTTCACCTTTAAAATACCCCACAGTTTGTTTGTTTTTTAAATCACATTTTAACATGCTGTGGTCAATGTGAGCTTCTCTTGGCAGTATTGAGGGAAAACAGACATGGCCGGGGGGGGGTTGCGGGTGGGGGCGCTGAAGCGAGGATGTGGGAGTTGCACCCTTGCAGTATCAGTGGGCTGTGGGCTGTCGTCTGTTCTGTTTGTGTATTATCCTCAGTTTGTTTTCTTTTTCCCTTTTGACTCCTCTCATTTCTCTCACTGTTGCCTCCTCGCAGGGCGTTGCTCAGGACTTCATGTTGTCTTGTAGGCACTGTTTGATTCTCTCCTCTGTTCCTTTTTGTCTTGCTGAAGTCTCCTGCAGCCTCCATAGCTCTGCAGCCTCCACTACCTCCTCCTGTCTCTCTCTGTCGTGGTTCTGCATCGCTGTTGTTTTTCATTTTTTTGGGGTGATCCTTTGAGTTCATCTTCTGTTTGTTGACTTGCTTTACTTTTTGATTGTCAGACACCCCCTCCCCTCTGCTCGCCGTGCGTTCTCCCATGGTTCAGTGCTGCGCCTGTTTACACTTCTGTGGTTGGTCAGTGGGTCTCAGTCCTGTTCGTGTGAAGCTGTGTCAGTTAGTTCTATGTTGTGGCTTGTCTTCAGAGTGGACTATGTGCATAAGGCTCCGCAGCTTCCCGGTTTAACACCGACCCATCCCCACATCCAGAATGTTAAATGTCTTGTTGAGGTCGTGCTGTTGTGAAATTACTTCCCTTCTGGAAATAATCTGTGTCGGGGGTTTCTCATTAACAACCTGATGAAAGTCAGAGCAAGGTGGTGGTACTGAGGAGTGGATAAAAGCGGTCAGACAAAAAACATGTTAGGGCGACACTCCCTGGCTTTGTTGAGCATGCAAATTTTACCCAGGTTAGAAGGCAATATAGCCGTTAAAGACAAGGAGCCTCATGCAGGGACTTTTTTTAATGTTTCTATCTTATATCTTCAGTTTTTGTTAGATTGGGCTCAGATTCTCACTATATACATACAACACATTTCAAACATCATCTTTTCTCACCAGCTAATACCAGGATTTATTTCAGTATTGTCAGTCATAAGAATTTCAAAATTAATCTGCATAAACAAAAAAGAGGATTTGAAAAAAAAGGAAAAAAAGACTGTTGCAGGTAAACAAACCACCAGACTTCTGGAACAATTTCCTTTCTACAGATGAGACCAAAATGGAGATGTTTGGCTGTGAATCACAGCGCCACATTTGGAGAAACTGAGACATACAGATCAGCACAAACACCTCATACCAACTGTCAGCACAGTGGTGGAGGGCTGATGATTTGGGCTTGTTTTTCTCAGATACCTTGCAGTCACTGGGTCGACTGTGAACTCCAAATTTAAATCTGAGGCCATCAGTCTGACGGCTAAAGCTTGACCAGTAAATTTACAACAGAATGGCTGAAAAAGGAAAAACTCAGGTTGCCGCAATGATCCAGTCAAAGTCCAGACTTTAACCTGACTGAAAAATACTTAAGAGACGTGTATAAATAAATGATCCCAAACATCAACTTCAGTTCATAAACTGAATAAGTGCATAAACTGAAGCAACATTTTAAAGAAGAGTGGGCAAAAATGACTCCACAACGATGTGAGAAGCTGATAAAGTCACACAGTGAAATGCTAAAGCTGCTGGGTTATAGGGTGTACTTCACAGGACTGTGCAAACTGACTGTATATTTGACAGAAAAAAAGGAAAAACAGAATCAATTCCCTTAAAAACATTTAAATCGGTTCTTGCTTGAGGCTCAGTATCTCAGTTTGATTTAATTCAGTTTCTTTTAAACTTATTGCTGAAACTTTCTGCAAAAGTGAAGCAAAACTGGACGACATGGTTTTACTCCTCATTCCAGTTCACGTTATTATTGTTGGATTGTTTTTTGTTTTGTTTTTTCCTTTGGTTCATTCCATTGAATATTTCTTTTAACTAAAATTCAGAATTTGAATAAATGTTATGTTTTCACAGCAGTAGAGCTATAACCTTAGCAATACAAGAGTACTTGTTACTTTCTGGTCATCTGTCTAACTTGCTTTATATCCACGATTTGTTGGAAATGTTGGTTCCATATTTGATGTTGAAATGTTTACCAGCAGTCAGTCTGAATAGCTTTAATGATGTAAATTTGAGTAATTTTGCCCCAGTTTGTTGACCCAGCAGAGCATTTCCAGTATTTAATTGTGAATAACATGACATGGAAATGAAGGAATTTTCAGATAAAATCATCCAGTCAGAGTTGTCAGCTCAGTTGTTCATGAAGACAAATATCAAACCTCAGTGTGTGAGATTAGAGAAGATCTGTTTTGTTTTCGTTCATCACCTGCTCATATTTCTTTGGTATGGAAATACAACAAACGGCGGATGGAGCGAGCGGAGCTGAATTCGCTGTAAGCAGAGATCAAACAGATCACAAAAGCTCCACATACATTACTACAATCCAAACAGGATCACAGCTGATGAAGTGAAATGCAAATACACAGTTTGTTTATGCAAATGCAGAGCAGAGCCGTCGAGCAGGACGCGAAGCTAGACTCCACGTCAGACTTCAGATCTCAAACTCGGAGCTCTGATGTCAAACAAACTGTATGTGTGCGTGATTGTGTGTGTGATTGTGTGTGATTGACAGCCCCGTGTTAAATCCTCACTGTTGTATCTGCTGTTCTCTGTTCTGTCTGCTGCACTTCATTATGAACTGCTGCACCCAACTCGTCTGTGACACTCTCTGAAAGCTACCTGGACCTTTTTATCATGAATGTTGTGTGATCATAAAACGATGAAATGCTGCTCTCTGCATTCAGCCAAAGGTTCACCATGTAATGATTAGGAGTCAGAGGTGTTTCTGTTTTCTGAGAAAACTCGTCCTGTCGTTTTTCAGCTTTCCCTCAGACTGATTCTGTAACGTTTTCTCTGCCTCTCTTCCTTCATCCCCTAACCACTCCTGACCCTTGCTCCCTCATTGTGTTTTATTTTGTTGCCAATTAAACATCAATTTAATTCATTCAAATTTTATTTTGCTCCCATCCAAAACCTTCCTCCTTTCCCAACTACCATCAATTTTCTCCATTATTCTGTCTGTCCTCATCTGTCTTTACTCACCACCTCGAACCCTACTTCCTTCCTTCTGTCATTCCCCGTAAAACCTTCCGCTTCCTCCTTTTACCGCCTCCATCCTAACAGCCAAGACCCAGGATGGCATTGCTCTGGAGATACAGCCTTTGAAGAGTGAAGAGGCCGCTGAGTCTGAGGAGAAGGAAGAGGTCAAACCAGTGAAAAAGGTCAATGTTACCAAGAAGGAGAAGTCTGTGCTTCAGGGAAAACTGACCAGACTAGCTGTGCAGATTGGGAAGGCTGGTGAGTAGCTCTCTCACACACACACACACACGCATGCACACACACACACACACGCACACACACGAACAATCTTAACCTAGCTTAGAAAAAAGGCTGGAGGTTGAGGGGAATCTGCTGGTCTAGCTTCAACCTGGGGTGGAGTATTTTTATTTTTTTTAATTCACTTTCCAAAAACGTAAAAGTCGAATCAGCACAGTTTTGTCGACCACATTTAAAGAGACATGCCAAAATGAATGAAGCTAATAGTTTTGTAAAAGATTTTGAGGTTTTTGCATGTTCTTGAACTTTCAACTTTAACTGATTATTAAGAATACTTTAACAACCACAAATGAATGTCAGTAATTTGAGTTTTTAAACCACTGTGAAACTCTGATGGGACCTCTCTTCGTCGTCTTTTTTTTTATTTATTTTTTTTTAACTTTTTTTATGCTGAGAGCCTGCAACAGGGATACTCGCGCTGCTTTGTCTGGGGACCACTTTTGCACAATCACTGGAGACCAGAGGCTGGTTAATAAACATTAAACAAGCAAACACTTCTGATGGAGATTACCCATAGCACTAGCTACGGGTAATCTCCTCCACACAAGTGTTAGCATTACTGTAATTTAATTCACAGTGATTATGTGTTTATCAGACCCTGATGAAAGCTTACAGTTGATATGCAGTGGTCTGTTGTTGTTTTTTTTGCCATTTAGAAGAGTAAACTTAAAGTGTTACTTCGCCAGGAAGACAAAGTGTTGTGGTAGTTTTCTGTATTCACATAATATTTAACATTTTCCTTATTTCTTATCTATTTTAACTTGAATACCCGCCCAGAATGACAAGTCATTTATTTTACCATATTTGGAAGCTGCTGCTGCTGCTGCTGCTGCTGCGTTTTAGCTGCAGTTGATTGAATTGGTTACTTTTGAAGGACTCTGTACAGCATTAAACATAGCTGGAACCCCTTCAGTAGATTTTATTTAGTGAATTATAAAATGTCTGTGGGCCAGCCAGCGTCCTGTGGCAATCCTGAGTTGGTTCCTGAGTCATACGTTAAGTATTACTGCTCTGCCTCTGAATGATGGTGTTAAATAAAAATGTAAGAGATTGCCAGAGTTATTAAATCAGCCCTGTTGCCAAAAGAGTTCAGAGTGCCCTGAGCTAAGTAAACATTGTGATCATGTCTGACGGCATCGCTTTGCCAGCCTCTGTGAAGGCTAGTTAATGTTATCAGTATATTACAGCTATAAGTGGTGAGTCTCTAGCTGCAGTTCAACGCAGTCACAACACCAAAGGACGTCAAAACTGATAAATAAAGCATAAAATGTACAGAATCGCTAATAAATTGAACTGGTTGTTTTATTATGTGATCCTACTCATTATTAGGTGCCTGGGTTTGACTGTACTGTTAGTTCAACCCAGATATCTACAGGATTGTTTCAACATCAGACATATCTGAAGTTATTGGAAAGGCAGTTTTGTCTCTTTTTGATTACACTAAGAGGATCTTTGCAGTTTTATTGCTTTACAGGCTAGTAGATCCTAAACAAGTCTCTTTATTAGATACATAGAAATGAAACTTATGCTGCTACATGACTCTCACAAAGACGACATTCGAGAAAAAGTGTGACTTGCCCTCTAATAGCACACAAAGTGATCAGGCAGCGCAGGGTCAAAATGCACTCAGTTCTATTGGATGGATGTTTTTTTATTGGGGACACGATTCATCCCGGAATTGAAAGCATTTTCTGTGTCATTTCAATTGACCTTAATACACCAAGGGGTTTTCAGGACATCATTACCGAACAGAAATAGAATTTGGGCCAAACACTTTGACTGGAGGTGACTGACAGGAGAGATGAAGTACAGAAACACAAACAGGGGAATTTTCTGTTACTTCCCCTCACCTGTTTGATATTCAGGATGTTGTCTGGTTACAGGCATCCAGACTTCACTGCCTTATTAAATATTATAGTTGAACCTTTCAATTTTTTACAAGCAAGACATATTCAAGTGTTGGCAGTCCGGAATCAGTGCAGTTAGACACCAAAGCGTAAATAGATTAAATATTAAAGTGTATTTTCTTTTGGTAGTTGACTATAGAAACAGAGACATGGAACGCAAAGGGGATGACATGCAATCAGAATCATTTTGTAGAAGCATCAGACTGGGGACAGTGTGGTTAAATATTTCCCAAATGGCTAGACTACAGGGAGAGTTTGCCAGCAGGTCTTCAGAAGGACTGCTCATCAGATCATCTTTAAAAGCACCACAAGAGATCTGAAAAGTGCTGCCATAGCACTGTGAAAAATGCCAGGTTGGTTTTGCTTAAAAAATGCTAATTTAAATAAAAGAATGTTTTTAATAACTTGAATGTGACTGAATCTGCAGTACTTAATGAGGACAAGTCACTTAAACCTAATAAACTAAACCATAGTCTCCAAATGTCCTCTGTAATGGACATTTGGTTTTGGTCTATATCTTTTGACTTATTTGAGCTACCCTACTGATGTGCTCAATAGAGGACATTCCGGCCTTTCCAATGAGGCAGGAAATCAGAAAAAAAAAGATAGTTTAAGTTAAGGATACTTTTTACGTCAGTTTTCAGGTGGATTTCTTTTTGAGCAAATAATGGGGAATACAATCTGAAAATGCACTAAGATTGACCAACTTTAGAAAGCTGAAGTTGAGCAGCAGTATTTCCATCATGAGTTAAGACACACTGCGTTCCAGGAACGCTGGTTTTATTAACCTTAACAACCTTGAATAGGTTCACTGAACAAGTGTCATTAATCGCTGCAGACACAGTCATGGTGGGCTGTTAATAGCTAAGCCTTTACAGTGCTCTTCAACACACAAACGTCGTCACTCAAATAATGATCCCAATGTCATTAAATTAAGCATTTAAAGGTAAACATTAACAGTCCCGTGAGTCTTTGCACTTGTCACTGCAGACATATCTTCTGCTTAGAAAAAAATGTGTAAAAGTATGAAATGAAACAGTTATACTTCTTATAATGTGGACAAGAAGTGCAGATCAGTCAAGTAAGTAAATTTAAAATGTGAGTATAAGTTGCTGAATACAAAATAAGATAATACGTAATGGATCACCAAGATTATAACATCATACATGACATAAAATAGTTAGAGAAGATAGTAAATAAAGGCTAATTTTTTTGTTAGCATGCCTAACAGCTGAAAATGGTAAACATAATTCCCAAAGGAGTAAATAAAACAGGAATCCAGACAAACACAGGATTTATCGAAAGACAAGATTATATACAGACAGAGACTGATTACATGAAACAATGGAAAGTAATTAAAGACAGGTAAAACTAATGAGTGCTAGAAAAACAGTCGCAAAGGAGGAAAGAGCCGGAGGTAAAACTAGAACCAGGTACATGGAAAAACTTGAAAGTAAACTACAAAATTACATGAAGACAGAGACTAAACAAGTTAGCAGAGATGGAGGAACACAGGAGTCCATAGAAACTGGGAACACAGCAACAAAAGAACAGTCTCAGTCCTAAAGGATTCAAACTGAAGGTTTAAGGATACGTGTTGTAGAAACCTTAAAACCCTTAAAAAAGCTTACTTGACTTTAATGGAAAACTGCTCTTGTTCCACTCAGGTCTGATCATGTCGGCGGTGACAGTTATCATCCTCATCCTCTACTTTGTGATCGACACCTTTGGGGTCCAGGGTCGGCAGTGGTTAGCTGAGTGCACCCCCATTTACATTCAGTATTTTGTCAAGTTCTTTATTATCGGTGTGACAGTTCTGGTCGTCGCTGTCCCTGAGGGGCTGCCGCTTGCTGTCACCATCTCTCTGGCCTACTCTGTCAAGGTGAGCAGGAAGGAATTATGTAAATTTAACATTAATAGACTCCTCTCAAAATCATGTCAGAGACACTGAGGTTTTAATGAGTGCACCTTCGTCGTTCATCCCTTAGAAAATGATGAAAGACAACAACCTGGTGCGTCACCTGGACGCCTGTGAAACCATGGGCAACGCCACGGCTATCTGCTCCGACAAGACGGGTACTTTGACTATGAATCGGATGACAGTGGTGCAGGCATACATCGGCGATACGCACTACAAGACTGTCCCAGAACCAGATGCTATCAAGCCGGAGACTTTAGAAACGATGGTCAACAGCATCTCTATCAACTCAGCGTACACTACCAAGATCCTGGTGAGTCTTTAACTATTACATCGACAAATACTGACACTCAGGTGTTCCAAATGCAATTATTTGGCTCTGGAGCATCTATAATAATAAACAGAGAATATTCAGTTATTTATGGGCCTAACACTTCATTTATGTTAAAGAAAGAAGCTGTGCTGTGATAAATGTTTTATTAATGGAAGTCTTCACTACGTAAGTTGTGAGTATAGACTGACAAGCATATAAACTGCAACATGAGTGCCTGCCTGAGGCAGTAACTATAGTTGGGACAATGTTTCCTGATGATTACACAGGAGACAAAACATCTAAGCAAAGAACATACCAGAAAAAACTGAGCACAATCTAATGAATGAGATTCGGCATCATCCCTTCTTATATTGAGTATATACTTATATTTATGAGCCAATACAAACTGATTGATACAAAAATAGATTTTTTTTATATAAATTTTATAGATATTTATATATAATGTGTGTATGTATATGTGTATATGTGTGTGTGTGTATGTGTATATGTATATATGTGTGTGTGTGTATGTGTATATGTATATATGTGTGTGTGTATGTGTATATGTATATATGTGTGTGTGTGTGTGTGT